TACACACCATGCACACACTTATGCACACCATACATGCACAGCACACACACATGCACACATGCACACTCGTCTAGCTTTCCAAGCACACCGCATGCTTTCTTCTGGGCTCGATACAAGCCGCTGCCTAGAAGTCATTCCCCTCACCTCAGCGCCTTGCTGGAAACAGATGCCTGGTATTGCAAAGAAAAATTAGCACTGAGACAACGGATCTCTCAGAAAAGCAATTCTTACTTTTTTGCTTCCTGGACTGCAGGAAGGGTACTCTCATTAGCCATCTTGTCAGGAGAGTACAATAAACAAAGGAAAAGCAGACATAGTTATTCCTTACGCATTTGGGGTCATCCTTACTGCTGTGTCTGATCTCCATTGGTTGGAGCCAAAGGTCACAATCTAAACTGAAACCAGATTGGCTAACAACTTAAAACTTTTCTGAACAGGGGAAAGCAATGGCTAGCTGGGACATGCCTGTGAGCACACTCAGCACAGATATCTCAGTTAAAGTACAAGGACACAGAGTGTAGTACATGCCTGTAACCATGGCATGTCTAACAGCTACATAGGATAGGGCTTAACAAAGCTATTAGCACACTTATGATTTATTCTTTAACAAGAAAGGAAACTTTAAAGAGGAACTTTTCTACTTCCCACATGCCTCCTCCTGATTTCTGCTCCAATATCGCCCCCTCCAGATGCCTTTTTTTTTTTTTTAAAGACAGAGTCTCATTCTCATTGCCCAGCCTGGAGTGCAGTGGCACGATCTCAGCTCACTGCAACCTCTGCCTCCTGGGTTTGAGCAATTCTCCTGCCTCAGTCTCCCGAGTAGCTGGGATTACAGGCACGGGCCACCACACCCAGCTAATTTTTGTATTTTTAGTAGAGACAGGGTTTCGCCATGTTGGCCAGGCTGGTCTGAAACTTCTGACCTCAGGTGATCCACCCACCTTGGCCTCCCAAAGTGCTGGGATTACAAGCATCAGCCACCGCTCCCAGCCCACGATGACCCATTCTCTCAGTGCCTCGGGAGGCATGTCTTACTTCAGAATGAACACGTTATCCTAAGATCTGCAGGAAGACATATTCGTCTCATAGCATTATTCATAACTTTCGTGAGTATAAAAATGACAAAAGCCTTCTGCTTAAACAAGACACATTGGCTAGAAAGTACTCTCTTTCTCCTTTTTCCAAAAGAAACTTTATTGAAACATTAAAATAAACTGGGAAATTAATTTTAAAATGACTCAGTACCATACTACAAATTCTGCATTGGTATAACCTGCAATCACCACTTTAGCCACCGGGGGGCGACTTCAGCTAATGTTATTTTACAGCCAAATTCTGGACCCACAGGCTAGAGCTCAAAAGAACACGGGCCCCATCGTGCAAATGTTTCCTTTTAGTCATGAAAAGCAGCTTGGCTAGATGGTGTTAGAAACTGTCTGGAACGCAGTTCTGAATTTTAAAAGGACAAGTTTAGGATGATATAGTCACTCTAAGTCACCTCCAATTAACGTAATTTAATTCTAACCCAAGGATATTTCTTTTATATATATATATATACACACACACACACACACACACACACACACACTATATATATAGTATATGATGTGCATATATACATATATAGAATGTATATATATATAAGCTATAGATATAGTGTGTGTATATATATGCTATATACACACATACACTATATATATTGAGACAGTTTCACTCTTGTTGCTCAGGCTGGAGCGCAATGGTGAGATCTTGGCTCACTGCAATCTCTGCCTCCAGGGTTCAAGTGATTCTCCTGCCTCAGCCTCCTGAGTAGCTGGGATTACAGGCATGTGCCACCACACCCGGCTAATTTTGTATTTTTAGTAGAGACGGGGTTTCTCTATGTTGGTCAGGCTGGTCTCAAACTCCTGACCTCAGGAGATCCGCCTGCCTTGGCCTCCCAAAGTGCTAGGATTATAGGCATGGGCCACCGTGCCTAGCCAAATGTTGTACATTTTAAATCCACACAATGCATTAGATTTCGCTCCTTACAAATGATCTCAATCCCAAAGGGCGTCATTATAATGCTTTTTTTCCATGTTGGTAAAATGAGAAAAAAGTGTTAGTTGCTACAATGGCCCAAAACAAGTGGCCCAAATGTCCCCCAGGATGGGCCCTATGAATGTGCGAGTTGTTGGTAGCAACATGGCTGACTTGAGATCAAACCAAGAAGAAATCGCCATTCCCACTGAGGTCTCCCAGCTGCATGGAAACAGGACAACAATGGTGTCAACCTGTGAGATTTTGGAGCTGTCATTGTCCCCCATGGGCACAGGCCTGCACTGGTGATACAGTCCCATAAAGTAGCCAGCACTCCTGCACTTGTCCTTCAAAGACTGACACTTCCAGCAGCAGCAATTAGTCTCCTCTAGACCTAGAATCATGTGACAGCCCATTTAAACAGAGCAGGATAAGGAACTTGAGCCAACTAGTGGGCTCTGGGGCATAGTTGGGAAGACGTGAGGCTAATTCCCTCTTCAAAATATCCACCTTCCCACTCCACTGCACTTAACCCCTTGCTATTAAAAATCTTATTCTTCCAGCACTTTGGGAGGCTGAGCTGGGCAGATCATGAGGTTAAGAGATCAAGACCACTGGGAGGCTGAGCTGGGCAGATCATGAGGTCAAGAGACCATCCTGGCCAACATGGCGAAACCCCATCTCTACTAAAAATACAAAAATTAGCTGGGCATGGTGGTGTGTGCCTGTGGACCCAGCTACTCAGGACGCTGAGGCAGGAGAATCGCCAGAATCCAGGAGGCAGAGGTTGTAGTGAGCTGAGATACCGCCACCACACTCCAGCCTGGGCAACAGTGAGACTCCATCTGAAAAAATTTTAAAAAAATCTTATTCTTGAGTTCAGAAAGACTTGCGGGGCTCTGGGTTTCCCCAGTGAAAATGCCAACAGCACTGGGTAATAAACACATAAGTTACTGTCATATGTGATTTGCAAAACTGCCAGCAAGGCAGCAGGCAGTGCGCTGGATGGGGTCTGGAGCACAAAAGGAGAGAGGTCACGGAAGTCAAGGCGAGAGGACGGCAAACAGAGAGCTGTCCAATGCACTCATTTTTTTTTTCATTCATTTATCCCTGAAACAAGCAATTATTGAGCACCAATCATGTCTCAGACACTGGGAATACAAAAATCAGTTCGCACCGTGCCGACCCTCTAGCTGTCTCCATTTCAGCAGGAGAGACAGACACTGGACTGCAATACACTGGGCTCAGGCACAGTAATACGAGGTGCATAGATGACAATGGTCTGACACAGTGTAAGAGGCATCCATCTAACACCTTTCTGGAGTTTCCTCAGGCCATGAGCACGGGAGAAGCTTTGTTTCTGTGGTTAGCAGAGGTCTCATCTGAGGTCCACCAAAGTTGTCAGGCACCTGAGAGTGAGCTGGAAACTCATGGTCCAGGGACCCTGGATATGCCCCAGGGACAGCAGAGGGGAATGAAGACATGAATGCCGAGCTGGGCTCTGCAGGTGGTGATGGCCAATCCAAGGCGCTTGGATCCTTGTAGAAAAAGAACATCAGGCCGGGCGCGGTGGCTCACGCCTGTAATCCCAGCACTTTGGGAGGCCAAGGTGGGCAGACCGCGAGGTCAGGAATTTGAGACCAGCCTGGCCAACATGGCACAACCCCGTCTCTACCAGAAATACAAAAATGAGTTGGGCGTGGTGGCACGTGCCTGTAATCCCAGCTACTTGGGAGGCTGAGGTAGCAGAATCAATTGAACCCAAGAGGCGGAGGTTGTGATGAGCTGAGATCGCGCCATTGCACTCCAGCCTGGGCGACAAGAGGAAGACTCCATTTCAAAAAGTAAATAAATAAAAGAACATCAGAAGCCCTTTTCTCCATTCCAAGTAGAAGTGACCCTACTCCAGAGCCTCGCCTTGCTCTAAGACGCTGGCAGCGAACTCCTTAGTGTTTGTTGGACTACGGTGTCCTTGAGAAGTCCGACTCCTGCCCCAGCCCACCTCTGAGTGTTCACCGTCTACGCATTGCTGGAAACTAGAAGAGGTAAACAAGCTCTTCAGGCGTGAGAGCGACCAGCAGGGCCGGGCAGTGCCTGCTGCTGTGCCTGGCTTCGTTGTCCTGCATGTTGATTGGCAGAGGAGAACAATACACAAAAAGAGCACCAGAGAAAGATGGGAGAGTAGAGTGAGGGGGAGAGGAAGGGAGGACAGGAAGCAGGGGGGAAAAGCAGCAGCCAGGTGGTCAGGAGGCCGTGCGCAGACACGGCACTTAAAAGTGGTCCTGCTTCCCTTAATGGAACTCTTTTGCCTTGGTTTTGAGACAGAGTATCATTCTGTCACCCAGGCTGGAGTGCAGTGGCACAGTCTCAGCTCACTGCAACCTCCGCCTCCCAGGTTCAAGTGATTCTCCTGTATCAGCCTCCCAAGTAGCTGGGACTACAGGTGCCTGCCGCCACACTTGGATAATTTTGGCATTTTTAGTAAGACAAGTTTTCACCATGTTGGCCAGGCTGTTCTTGAACTCCTGACCTCAAGTGGTCCACCCATTCAGCCTCCCAAATTGCTGAGATTTGCAGGTGTCAGTCACCATGCCCGACCCTTAATGGAACTCTTAAAGTTCTGCACTTCACACAAGAAAGCTCAGGAAAGAAAAAGTAGTTTCAAAGAAGTGGCCACTCTTCTCTGAAACTGTTAAGTCATCTTTGCTTCTTTGGGTACACGGATAAGTTGCCAAGGCGACCTGAGCAGGAGATTCCGAGTCAGGCTTTTCTTTGCGCCCTTCACGTTGGGTACAGCGCTTCACCCACGGTAGGCGTGAGGGAGGAAAGGGCAGAAGGAATAGAGGAAGCTCAGCATTTGGCAGGGCCCTGTTCTTGCAACAGTTCCCAGCCGCACTGTTTCGGACTGGAGTCACTAGAGGGAGGCAGAGGAACATGAAAAAGCTGCCGTGTTTGTCCCTGCTCTGCAGGGCCGACTCAGACCTCAACTGAGGACTCGGGAACTTCACTGACCAGGCAGGACTAGAGATCGGAAGAAGTCTAGGCTTCAGCCTTCCCCTTAATTCAAGGTGTGTATCCTGCCTATAATCAGAGTGTAACCTACGCATGTGTAGGAAAGAACAAGAAAGAAGCTGCTTATTCCCGAGCAATGCAGAATTATCGGGTGGAAGTTAGAGAAAGAGACGGCGGGTCGACAGCTCCCAGCAGACAGCGTGACTCAGCAGGAAAGCCCGTGGGAATCCGGGCTTTGGGACCAGAGCGCCCTGGCTCTGCCACTCTCACCAAGTGGCTGGTGCTCAGACCCCAGTTATTGCAGTCAGTAAAAAGGTGACGGAGTCACTTCTACCTCGTTGGGGTTACTATACAAAGCATGAACATGGATCAATATTTTTAAAAATAAACCAAAAAGAAAACCTCTCCTAAAACAGTGGGGAACCACAGAAATGCCAATCCAATTATTATTATTAACCATGTGTTCAGGTCATGAGGTTGTCTACCTAATTATGTTCTTAAAGTCTGTCGACCTTAAATAAGGTGAAACAGAAAATACGATGAAGCATGGGGTTTATTTATTTGAGTACAGAGCTTGAGAACGGGCACCAGGAAAACACAGACCCCGAAGGACAGGGTCCCTGCTCTAAAGTGAAGAAGCTAAGGTTGTGCTTACCACGGGCAGACAGTGTCAGCAAGGTTGCAACATTTTCCGCACAAGGCTGGGGTACATGTTACAGCGATGTGATTAGAGCGGTTTGCTGCCTTCCATGGAAGATGGCTTTAACCCTCCGTGAGGACAAGAGTAACATTCGGAGGGGCCGCCATGCAGGGGGTTTATTTCTGGTGTCATTCAGTCATTCGTAATCATTTACAGGAAAAAAAGCAGAAGTTGTCACTGCATGCTATGTGACTTAACCCAGACAGCCACATTTCTCTCAGGGCTCAGATAATTTAAAGTTCCAACAGTTTTAAATTTAAATTATTTAATTTTGCAAGTTCTCCAGTGAGAAAGTCTGAAGACAGTAAGCTCTAAAAGGAAAGGCACTATGGCCGTTGCTCTTAGCATCATACCTAATCAGTATATTTTTTCTTCTTTTTTTCTGCTTTTTGTAGAGTTAGGGCCTTTCTACGTTGCCCAGGCTGGATTGGAACTCCCAGGCTCAAGCATCATCCCACCTCAGCCTGCCGAGCAGCCGGGATTACAGGTGCACGCCACATGGCAGATTTTTTTTTTTTTTTTAAGTTTCTTAAATGAATGAGTAAAAACACTTACATGCAGCAAAACCATATAATTTACTAGCTAAAATGAGCGATTTTTTTTTTAACTGAAAGAAAGCACTGTTAGCAATTATTTCAGTAAACAGGTTAAAAGCAGAGCTGTCCTAGGCCTGCCCAGACACGGGACGTGGGATTGCTTGACAGATAAAACCCTCGCTGTGTGCTGAAATGCGGTTCAGGGCACACTGCTCAGGGCTGGCACTGCCCCAAGCATACGACAATAGAAAGTCATTTTGTCCGCATAAAAACACAGTGAAATTGGCCCTGTGACTACTCATATTCAACAAATGTGTACGGACCACCTGCTGTCTTCCAAGTCTTCCAGAATCTTGGAATGCATCCAAACACGAAAAGCCAGACGTCTGTCCTTTCAGAGCAGGAGATGAGGAAGACAGTAAATCAGAAACGTAGCAGATAAGTACATTATACAACTTGCTGAAAGGTAGTGGGGTTACAGATGAAAGAAGGGTAGAGCCGGGGGACTCGGTGCTGAATGAGGAAACTCAGGTAGAGAATACCATGTCAGCAGCGGACATCTCCAGCTGGCTAGGAACAGAGCCCCGTTCTACCTCGGGCAATGTGGCCCCGTGCCTGCTTTTCACCTGGACTCTGCCTTCTCCTTCAGGTCTGATGTGCACTGAATCGTGCTCCATATTCAAATTCATTTTCTCTGTTAGTGGCACAGAAGAACACACAAACCCTGGCAATACTTCCTTGAACTAAACTCAGTGTCCCACCACCGCACCCCACCCACGATTGATGCCAGACATCTGCCACCCTGGGGACTCGATCTGGGCGATGCTGGGTTCACAGGAGACCCCGGGGCCCTAGAATTGCATGCCTACCCAGCAGGCATGGAGGCCACGTCTCTGTTCTGCCTAGAGAACTTCTTGATCACAAGTCTGTGGAATCGGCCAGCCAAGCCCACCAGACAGGACTAAACAAATGACTCTAGGGGGAAACGCCAGGCTTCCTGAACATCTAAACTGCTTGAACTAAAGCTGGCATTTCAGCATTTTGAGCCATTCAAACCACATGATGTCAAACTTCCTTCCCATCTCCTCACACTGCTCTCTTCCTACCCTTGACCTTCCTCATCTTGTGACTCTGGCAAAACTCCAGGGTGGCTATTCAACCTCTCTCAAGACACCCTGTGCCAAAAATAAAAAAAAGAAGGGGAAAGAAGGGGAAAAAAGGGCAATTTCTGTCTCCAGAGCAAGGGCTGCTGGGCTCAGCCAGGTGGATGTTGCCAGGAGGCCAGCAATAGCCCCAGGCTAGGCAGGGAGCACAAAGGAATCTTTAAAAACTCACTGCAGCAAGGAGCTGAGCGCATTCTCAACATTGAGTCTGTGTGCTCATGGTTAAATATTCCAGCCACTGGCCTACACACCATCTAGTAAGTAAATCATGGTGAATATTTGCTGAGGACCTACTATATGCAAGGCACTATGCTCACCATTATTTACTTGTGTGGACACTATGGCTTTCACCCAAAGCTGTCCTTCTCTAGGCTTCCTTTTCATATCTACAAAGCAAGGGAGTTTACACGGACAGTCTCCAGAAATTCAGCTCTAATGGCTAGGTGCAGTGGCTCAGCCACTGTATCATTGTACTGATAGCCTGTAATTCCAGCACTTTGGGAGGCTGAGGTAGGCAGATTGCTTGAGCTCAGGAGTTCGAGACCAGCCTGGACAACATGGTGAAATCCTACTAAAAACTCTATAATTTTTTTTTTTAATTAGCTGGGTGTGGTAGCATGTGCCTGTGGTCCTAGCTCCTCAGGAGGCTCAGGTGGGAGGATGGCTTGAGCCCAGGAGGCGGAGGTTGCAGTGAGCTGTAATCATGCCACTGCACTCCAGCCTAGATGACAGAGCCAGACCCCGTCTCAAAAAAGAATTCAGCTCTAACATTGTGACTCATTCTTTGCTCTATAGTGAGCATCCTGAAAGCAATTTTGTCTCCTTTCTCTCTCTCTCCCAGCAGCTAGCACAGGCCATGGAGGAAGTGATGGGCAAACACCCATTGAGCAAATCCAACTTCTGAAATAAGGCTCTTCAAGAAGGTTTCAACCACCAGCCAAAGGCTGACTCACATGCCCACTCCAAATGAATGAGAAGACTTACTATAGAATTTTTATACATATATATATATATATGTTTATAGATAATTTAGACTTTCAGGAAACTTTATACATATATTTGTATATATAAATATATATCTTTATGTATAGAATATATATATACTTATAAATAGAATATATATATACCAATATATGTGTGTGTGTGTGTGTGTGTGTGTGTGTGTGTGTGTGTATTGTTGTTGAACAGCTGGGCACATAAAGCTTTTGCCCTCCATGAAAGAATATTGACTAACTTAAGCAAACCTCCCAAAATCTAAAACTATTTTCCAACACACAATCAAATTATATGACAAACAAGCCTTTATTTTAAAATAAGCATCATCTTTTGAAGAACTAAGTTGGAGGACTTGCGGTTCTTAATTTCAAACTTACTACACAGGGACAGCAATCAAGACATTGTGGTACTGGCATGACACAGACATGAAAATCAATGGAACAGAATGCAGAGTTCATCCATAAATAAGCCTGTACATTTATGGTCATTGACTTTCAACAAAGGTGCCAAGGGAACACAAAAAAACAGGCTTTTCAGCAAATGATGCTAAGAACAACTGAATATCTACATTCAAAATAATGAATCTGAACTCCAATCTCACACCATACACAGAAATCAACTCAAAATGGATCATAGACTTAAATGTAAGAGGTAACACTTATGAAACTCTTAAAATAAAATACAGGGATAAATCTTCTTGACTTTGGGTTAGGCAAGGATTTTTTTTTTTTTTTTTTTAGATGGAGTCTCACTCTTGTTGCCCAGGCCGGAGTACAGTAGCATCATCTCAGCTCACTGCAACCTCCACCTCCCAGGTTCAAGCGATTCTCCTGCCTCAGCCTCCTGAGTAGATGGGATTACAGGTGCCTGCCACCATGTCTGGACAATTTTTTGTGCTTTTAGTAGAGACGGGGGTTCACCATGTTGGCCAGGCTGGTCTCGAACTCCTGACCTAAGGTCATCCACCCGCCTTGCCCTCCCAAAGTGCTGGGATTACAGGCATGAGCCAGCACCTGGCCAGCAAGGATATCTTAGATAAAATGTCACAGATGTAGAAGCTAAAAGTAAAAGTTGATAAACTTTTACTTACATTCATCAAAACAAACAATGTTTGCACTTCAAACAGCACCATCAAGAAAGTGAAGAGACAGCGAAGGGAGGAGGAGGAAATATTTGCAAATAATATACCTGATAAGGCAATAGTACAAAATATGTAAATAATACAACTTTACAATAAAATGATAAAAACTCAATAGGCAAAAGGGTCAGACACAATGGCTCAGGCCTATAATCCCACCACTTTGGGAGGCCAAAGAGGGTGGATTTCCTGAGGTCAGGAGTTCAAGACCAGCCTGACCAACATGGTGAAACCCTGTCTCTACTAAAAATACAAAATTAGCTGGACGAGCTGGCACATGCCTGTAATCCCAGCTACTCAGGAGACCGAGGCAAGAGAATCGCTTGGACCTGGGAGGCAGAAGTTGTGAGACGAGATTGCGCCACTGCACTCCAGCCTGGGCAACAAAGCAAGACTCAAAAAAAAAAAATAGGCAAAGAATTTGAATAGACATTTCTCTAAAGAACATATGCAAATGGCCATTGAACACACACAAAGTTGTTCAATATCATTCATCATTAGAGAAATGCAAATAAAACCACAACGAGTTGTCCCTTCACTCCCTAGGATGGCTACGATCAACAAGATGGGCAATTGCATGTGTTGACAGGGATGTGGGGAAATTAGCCAACATACAGTGCTGCTGGGAATGTACAATGTTGCAATGAGTTTGAAAAATGGTTTGCCAGTTAAATTTTCAACACATCGTTACCATATGACCTAGCAGTTCCTCTCCTAGTTATGTATCCAAGAGAAGTGAAAACACATGTCCTAGCCAAAGACCTGTGCACCAAGCTTCGCTGCAACATAATGCATAATAGCCAAAAAGTATGAGCAACCCAAATGTATCTCAACTGACAAATGGACAGACAAATGTGGTGCCACACTCACACAACAGAATGCTATTCAGCAGTAAAAAGGAATAAAGAGGTACAATATAAATCAGCTGCAGCCGGGGGTGGTGGCTCACGCTGGTAATCCCAGCACTTTGGGAGGCCGAGGTGGGCAAATCACAAGGTCAGGAGTTCGAGACCAGCCTGGCCAATATGGTAAAACCCCATCTCTACTAAAAATATATAACTTAGCCAGGTGTGGTAGCATGTACCTGTAGTCCCAGCTACTCGGGAGGTTGAGGCAGGAGAATTGCTTGAACCCGGGAGGCGGAGGTTGCAGTGAGCCAAGATTGCACCACTGCACTCCAGTCTGGTGACAGAGACTCCACCTCAAAAAAAAAAAAAAAAATCAGCCTCAAGAACATTAAGCTAAATGGAAGAAGCAAGTCTCAAAAAACCACGTAGTATGTGATTCCACTCATGTGAAATAGCTAGTGGAGCAAATCTATTGAGACAGAAAGTAAATTAGTGGTTGCCTCGGGGTTGGCATGGGGAGACTGAGGAGTGACCATCTGAGGATACAGAGCCTGTATCCTCAGTAATGAAAATGTCCTGAAATCTGATTGTCATGGTAGTTACACAACTCTATAAATAGATGAGAAGCACTGAATTGTATATTTTAAAAGGGTAAATGTTATGCTATGTGAATTGTATCTCAATAAAACTCATTTTACAAAAAAGTCAATTCTTGAGGGCAAAAAAAGCCTTGGTTTTAGCCAAGTTTCTGATGTCTAGCTAATGACAAGGGGAATTAAGTGCTGGAGTCTAGTACTTAGAGGTGACTTTTTACATTTATTATCCATTTAACTATAATTGTAGCATCTAAGTTCTCAGGACAGAGAT